ACTCGTATTGAAGTTCTAAAATGAAAAAAAAAATAATAAATTAAGTAATTAATATGATCGTGCTATAACCTTGCTAATATTGTCCTTAATCTATTAGCTATGTAATTATGTTTAAAAAATTTAGTGAAAAACATCCACCTTTAATGATAAAAACAATTTTAATGTACAAAATGCTAGAAAACTCCTGAAATCAAATTACCATCAGAAAATACATTCCTGTTTCTTCTTATTTTATCCAATAAAAACAAATACTATGGAAGATATGTCCTTAAAAGATTTAATATAAGCTCAGTATTTCCATTCAAACGAAAAACATGATACGGAAATACGTGAAACAAAGATTAAACTTCTGAAATAAGAAGAAAAAAATTTTTATCTCGGGCTACCTAAAACAGTTTCTTTCGAAACAAGCAGCGCATTGGTTTTACAATAATGCACGTAGAATTGAATTCGCAAAAACGAAGCTTATAACACAAAACTAAAAGTTTTATTCGAAAGCTTCTTCAATAAATAATTACAACTTTGTGTTTTTGTTTCTACAGAACTATCGGCGTATTGTTTCGTCTATAAAAATATGTATTACTGATAGTTTCTCAAAACTGAAGAGGAGAAACTGCTGCAAAAATCGAAAAGAAATGTACCTATTGAATTTATTTCTTATATTTTTGTGAAAGTGCATGTTATTTTAAATCTTGTTAAAAATGAATTATCGAGCAAAAAAAAGTTTCTTAAAGTTGCCAAACTGAAAATATTTTTTGAAATTGTACTTAACAAAAATAACGCATCGAGGAAATTGGAAAAATACTACGGAATTTTTCATGCTGCATCAAAAATCAATAAAACGTGTCGTGTCTATTTATCAAAATTAAAAGCATTAACATAATTAAAGTAAAAATATTTATCTATAATGCTACTAGAAGATTTAGAATGGCCAGCAACAATGGCTGCAAAAACATTATTGCAAGAATGCATGCGAATTTGAATTCGCAAAAGCGAAAGTTTCATCACAAAAATTTTTCCTCGCTGCTTGGAAAAAACTAGAAGTTTTCAACTCTATGTGATTATTACCTTCTGTAATGTTTATTTTTCAAAACTAGAAGTAAAAGAAAAGTTTTTAACACAATTAGAATTTCTACCCAAGAATTCAATTTAATAGTGAAATTTTGTGAATACTTCTGTTTTTTTTACTAGTGTGAAAAAATGAAATATCGGCCAAAAGTAAACGTACTTAGTAAGTAAAGTTACTAAAAATACCTAGTTAACAATTCCTTAAGTTACCTAAAAAATACCTTAAGTTACCTAAAAATACCTTAAGTTACCTAAAAATACTTTAAGTAACCTAAAAATACCTTAAGTTACCTAAAAATACCTAGCTGAACACATTTTTCGAAAATATAGGCAGGAAAAGGAGTTATTAATGAATATTTGACAAAGAGCATAATTTATTTTATTTAAAGTCTAAATGCAATGTATCAGATGCAATGTATCAGATGAACTAAATTAAAATTAATACAGAGAAATCTACATTGAGCAACAAACTTCTAGACAACAATTGTTCTTACTGGACTAACAAACAAATTTGATGGTCCAGTATGAAAAATAGTCAATTTGTAAGGACCACCTCCATACAAACAACTAATTTTGCCAATATGATGCATGATTACAGAAGTCATCTTAGCCTGTAACATAATTAAACTAAAAACTATACTTAAAATACAACTTAAAGCTTTATAATATTAAAATTATAATAATAATTAGTGTTGAATAATTGTTGACTCATAATTTTTATTTTCTTCAACAAACGATGCAAGAATATCCTCTTGAAAGATTTAATATAAATCCTGCATAGCATTCTCATTTGTTATATATTCGAAAATACGCAGAACAAAAATTGAGTTCTTAAATAAGANATATATTCGAAAATACGCAGAACAGAAATTGAGTTCTTAAATAAGAAAATTGATTCAATAAAGATCTTATACCAACATTTGTAGGTCTTATACCAACTTATAAATATGTGAGACATCTTAGAAGTCATCTTAGCCTGTAACATTATTAAACTAAAAACTATACTTAAAATACAACTTAAAGCTTCATAATATTAAAATTATAATAATAATTAGTGTTGAATAATTGTTGACTCATAATTTTTATTTTCTTCAACAAACGATGCAAGAATATCCTCTTGAAAGATTTGATATAAATCCTGCATAGCATTCTCATTCGTTATATATTCGAAAATACGCAGAACAGAAATTGAGTTCTTAAATAAGAAAATTGATTCAATATAGATCTTATACCAACATATCTAGGTCTTATACCAACTTATAAATATGTGAGACATCTTAGAAGTCATCTTAGCCTGTAACATTATTAAACTAAAAACTATACTTAAAATACAACTTAAAGCTTCATAATATTAAAATTATTATAATAATTAGTGTTGAATAATTGCTTACTCGCAATTTTTATTTTCTCCAACAAACGATGCAAGAATATCCTCTTGAAAGATTTATTATAAATCCTGCATAACATTCTCATTCGTTACATATTCCAAAATACGCAGAACAAAAATCGAGTTCTTAAATAAGAAAATTGATTCCATATAGATCTTATACCAACAGATCTAGGTCTGATACCAACTTATAAATATGTGAGACAACATTTTTGCCAATTTGGTGTATGATTATAGACGTAAATTTTGCCTGTGACATAATTAAAATAAAAACCACACACATAATACAACTTAAAGGCCTTATAATACTAAAACAACAATGATAATAATAATTATAATACCCTAATAATTGGTGTGAAATAATCGTTTCCTTGCAATTTAAATTTTGAAATGGATTAAAAAAAATCATAGAATTTGTAAAAAAAAAAAAAGAACAGACTAATCTAAACGTATTTTTATCTTCCCCAACAAAATAAATACGATGCAGAATACGATTCCCTTGAAAGATTTAATATAAATCCTGCATGGCATTCTCATCCAGACGAACGTTACATATACGAAAATACGGATAACAAGAATCGAGTTCTTAAATAAGAAAATTTTTCAATCTAGGTCGTATAAAACAGATTTTTTTTCTTCTCCTTTCAGATGCAGCGAAACACAAAGCACGTTGGTTTTACTGAATAATGCATACAAAATTGAACCAACGAGAATGAAGTTTACATTACGAAATTGTACGTTCTGTTCGAATGTTTCTTTCAATAAATAGCTTTGTGATTATTTTGTGAAATTCCGTCAAGAGAACCGATTTATCCTACTGTAAAATTAAATACTTAAATTTTATTGGAATAAAGAAAATCTTTTACAAAAATCCCTTACGCCATCAGTCAGTCAAACGTTGCACTTTTCTAAAACCAAGGATTTTGTTTGATATCGATGCTACAAAACTAGTTTTACTTTTTTATTTATCAAGGCCATGCATTTTTTTACGCTATTTATTAAACCTTTAATGTCGAGTTGAGATCTATTCTAAACCCACAAAATAAATCCGAACAGTGAGAAAGCTATGTGTACAACTAGTACACCAGCAAAGGGTTAAATTGAAAGTTTGATTTTTATTCATTCCTATTTTGAAATTGAAGACATTTTATTTTATTTTATAACCGTCGTTGAGCAGTCGACTCATTTTGAGTTTAATATTACCAATGTTCAACTTCGTACCTTGTTATTTTGAACAAAATACAGAAGACAAGGGAACTCTTGGATCAGGTATTGGACGAAATTATCTTTCGTGAAAGACTTTGAGATGGAACTACCCCGCATTTGCATTACATGAAGAGAAAAACTACGAAAGACTTCAACTGTTTAACTAACGGCAAGGGGACTTTAATCCATGATGTGTCCACCACTGAGGATATTTTGCGTCAAAATTGCAGTCGGTGCAAGCCGGGTTCTATATTCGTATCTACCAGACATTTCCGGGATTCGAACCTATGTCGCCTCACTGGGAGGCAAGCACTCTATTCTCTGAGCCACCACTGCTCTAAATTTAAAATATTAAAATTTTTATAAAAATAAAAAAATAAAAACTCATTAAAAAACATATTAAGTAAAAACATATTATGGCTAGCTGTCAGTATAAAAACAAAAAGTCCTTTTGACAGTTATTTATTTATTCGCACTAATTATAGGCTTCATTTTTATAAACTTAAAATACGATTAACCAGTTCACTTATTTTTTATTTCACTGATACACTCGTATTTGACTAGTTCATTGATTGAATGGTTCTTTCATTTATTATTTCACAGAGTCATGTGGTCACTATTTCGCTAATTCATTGATTTGCTGATTCATTCATTCACTATTTCGCAGCTTTACAGATTCATTAAGTCACTATTTAGCAAATTCATTGATTTGCTGATTCAATATTACGACAATTCTATTCGGCGATTCCATTCCAATGTTACGACGATTCATTGATTAAAGGATTCGCTCATTCATAATTTCAACGCTTCACAAATTCATAAGGTAGTCACTATTTAGCAAATTCATTGATTTGCTGATTCGTTTATTCATTATTTCGCAGCTTCATAGATTCATGTAGTCATTATTTAGCAAATTCATTGATTTGTTGAATCCATATTACGAGGGTTCTTTAATTGGCTTATTCACTGTTTTTCTCTTTCTAATTAGCCGAATAACTTATTTTTCTTGTTCTTCTCTTCATTCCTTCATTTACTCGCTGTGTCATGTATAGTTCAAAGCAACGGTTGCCATACAGACACGCTATTCAATACAAAAAATACTATATTAAACTAAAATAATATAACTTAAGTCATATCCTCAGATTAACACGGGTTTATAAAGTTATACAAAAGAAAATCGATTTTTCTGAAATTTAGCAAAAGATAATTTGACAGATCTAAACATCTGAATACTTAAATTTATCAATTTTAAAAGGTAATTTTGTATAAATCTTAAATAGTTTATCTCCTTTTCTGTTTCAGTCAAAAAAAATTAATTAATAAATATTATGAAACTTACCTGTCGTAATATTTTTGAGCATGCAGGCCATCCACATCCTTGCCCAAATCCGTTTAAAAACCACAACAATGAGAAGACGGCGACTGATGATGATGATGCAAAAGTAAGTGTGACAATGCCGCAAAATGTGAGACCAATAGAAAACAATACTCTGGCACTAATTCTATCAGACAAAATACCACCCAGAAATTTGCTAATAGCATATGCTACGTTTTGGCAACTGATAATGAGACCTGGAATAAGAGAATTAATTACAACTTAATAGGCAGTCTTGGTAAATTGATACTTTTGATTTTGTAGATATTTTTGGGAACCTATTACATAAAAATATTGCACTCGTGTTCTTTTTTTTTTCTTTTTATTTTGTAAAAAAAAAACATCCTTACAATTTATGGTTGAAAAACGGAAGGTCATGTGGAATTTTAAGAAAAACACACATCAAGCAATATTTTTTCTCCTTAGAGTAAACCACAATTTTTTCACAATTATTTTATATTCTACAGCTCACAAGCTGTTACATAATCACACGAAAAATATTACACGAACTAAGGTTTTTGCTTCTTGTTTAAGGATTTGCTTTGTTAAAATTTACTAAAATGTTAAAATTTACCAACAGTTACTACTTTGTTAAAATTTGCCAACAGTTATTACTTTGTTAAAATTTACCAACAGTTACTACTACTTTGTTAAAATTTACCAACAGTTATTACTTTGTTACAATTTACCAACAGTTAATACTTTGTTACAATTTACCAACAGTTATTACTTTGTTAAAATTTACCAACAGTTATTACTTTGTTAAAATTTACCAACAGTTACCACTTTGTTAAAATTTACCAACAATGAATCTCAAAAATCTTGTACTTAAATGCATACATAGTGAATAATAACACATAATGAAAAATACCTATAACAGAACAAGATATGCGTGGTGCAGTTTTAGCGAATACGTTTGACATTGAATTTGCAAAAATTTTCTCCACTTGCTTAAAGGCTGTTTTTCGATCTTTAATTAAAATAATTTTATTGTAAATTTATAAACTTCATGGAAACAAATAAACTGCTTTATATACTTATATTTTGTGCTAAGCTACCAACACTTATTGTCAAAACTGTAATAACCTAACTTTACAGCGGTGGATATTTTATTTACAAATATTAAGTATGCGTGAGATAAACTGGTAATGTAACTTACCATATCGCTTTGTCTAAACACGCGTATTGAATTTCATACAGTCAGAATGAAAGCAAGCTTAAATATTTGGAAAGCTATTGTAAACATATGCTAATTGTATCATTTCATATCTCGCATTGCTTTGCATATAAATGATGCAGTTGAAACTTACATTGACATAGGAAGCCATGTATTGGCATTTCATTACATCAAACAAACAAATGTTGTCTACAATTTAGTCTAAAATTTCTAAACAAGATTAAAAGTTTTCAACTAATACAAGTATGTGATATTAAATTGAATGATATTTTCGTTGAATTTAAATAACTTATGTCATTTAAGAATGATAGAGACAACTTATACTTAATTTCTAATTTATATTGTACATGGGCAAAAAAATTCGAATATTCTTTCCAATTTTCTATTTAATAATCGGACTTGAGGTATCGAATCGATTTGTAATACAATGCAATTTTCGATACTTAGGAGAATCTTATAAGATATATTTATTAATTAGTCATTGTTAATAATTGACGATGGAATGAACATTAAAGGGTTAAAATTGTCTAAAGCTCTTCTGACTAACTATTGTGACCATATTTTCCACATTGCGGCTACCCCTCAGATTGTAAGATTGACTAATCCAAATTCATTGAAAAAATGTGTTTAATTATTAATTCAGTTATTCAAAGAAAGTACGTTTTGTGTATGATTTTGTAGCTTTAAATATCGTCTGAGCTAAATAATTAGCACATTTTAGGTTTAGTCCTCGAACCACAAAATTTGAATTCTAGAACCGAAAATCCTACCATTAGATCAAAAGTTATTGAGGTGTTCATTATTTTTATTCTGTGCCATGCACATATAATGTTTAAAAATTTTCATTTCGAAAACCAAACAACAGTATTCACTAAGATATACACTTTCTGCATAATAAGAATAATCAATTATGTACTTTACAATCACGATTAGTAATTAACATCATTTTAAACTATGAATACATTTACTCGGGCTGTATTTGAATAATATAATTGCCTTTAATTCTTGGATTATAATAACTGGTAATTACAATCAGTTGTAATCGCGTTTTTTTTTGTAATCATACAAATAATCGATTAAGATGCATTTATTATATGTTATTAGTTACAATTGCAAGCGATTACTGTCGGGCAACATTTCGAGAAATTAGTCATGATTTTAATCTAGCTAATTAATAAGAAATAAAGATTAAAAATAATGAATAATTTAGTTTTTGGTTAAAATATTTCAGAGTAATGTCTAAATTTTTAGTCATTATTCGGGACTATTTTTGCAAATTAGTCATTGGTCTTTATTCATTATTCTTAGAATCACAATTAAAGTCTCAAAAAGTAAAAAGTAAAAAAAAAATAATATTTTTATTAAAAGGAATAAATAATTTAAATTTTAAAAATTTTTAAATTATCCTTTCTAGGTACTGTATTTTTTTATATTTTCTACCAGTGTACTGGAAATTTTGGATTCTCATGCAATTTAGTGTGATATAAAATGTTTAAATCTTTCAACTTTCAAAAATTTCAGCAGTTATTTAAACTAAATTATATATAAATCATAATTTTAAATTTATACTAAACATATTTTTGCATAAAATTATCTTTGTTAGCAATAGTTTTTGTCACAGTATAAAAAAAGATTTTTGATTCCCATTTTAAATTCCAGAAATTTATTGTCTGACGTAATCAAGTAAGAGGAGTGCTAATGGAGACAACTGGAATAATTCAGCTATTTATCAGTCACTTTTCTTTTTAGAACTCTTCATTTTGGAAAATTTTGTTTGGTCAAAATTTAAATTTCGTGAACCCTTAAATTTTAAGAAGTAAATTGAAAAAGTACACCTAACATTAATTCAATGATGCATCATTAATTAATAATAACAGAACAAATGTTATATTTTATACGCTGTATATATTAATTATTTTTTAATGAATATCGTAATGATCAGCAATATAAGAATTAATTATTGGTAATAATATTGGAAATTATTGGTAAAAATAAAGTAAAGTATTAAGTGTTAGAAATATTGGTATCGCAACTGTTGGTATAATTCGTCATCTCTAATGAAATTTAATTCAGGCATACTTTTAAAAATTTTCTATAACTCCAAATTAAGAGTTATCGAGTAAGTGTTCCAATGCAATAAAATTTTAATTGAAGTAAGTCATCGTTTAAATAGTAATTTTCATGAGTTTAAAACTTAAATCTGCATAAATAAAAAAGAAAATTCGAATGATATATCTCAATTTCAAATTTAATTTTCAACATATTAATGTTTTAATAATAATAAACATTTGATTAATAATAATGAACAACAAATAAATCATTTCAATTGATTTTAAAAAAATCACTTCAACTTGATTTCAAATATACATAACCTTTTGTGGAAGATCTGTTTTTTTTTTTTTTTTTTTTTTTTTTTTTTTTTTTTTTTTTTTTTTTTTTTTTTTTTNACTTTGTTTTTTTTTTTTTTTTTTAAATTGAAAAAAAATTTTGTAATTTAAATTGAAAAAAAAATTTTTTTTTTAAATTGTTAGCTTAATTACTCCTAATTTAGCAAATTTGTGAATATTAAATCCCGTTTTTGTGAAAAATCAATTCAGACTTTACGCAAAATTAAGATCCTGTTTTTGTGAATATGTGAAAAATTTACTCAAAATTTTTCGAATTCTTAAATTATTACTGTGTAATTAGGTTCTTTCAAATTAAATTGAAAAACAGGAAGTAAGGCTCCCGCTCCAGTTTTTGTGGGGGGGGAGGCGGACTGAAACACCATGTCTTTCAAAGAGTTGATGTTTTTAAAATATGCATTAAAGAAGATTTTTGTGAAAAGTCCATTTTAATAATAAAAAACATAGTGAAGGGTCAGTTTATGAGCTAAATTTTATATTATAAAGAGTCCGTTTTGTGAAGAGTCCGTTAACGGAAATAAATTTCCCCAAAATGACCCTTAAAAATGTTTTTTCACTGTTATTTGTTGAGTATCTTACAGAAGAATCTTTTAATAAAAACAAACTTTTTATTAATATTTCTTCATTAAATAGTACACAAAAATATTAAGCTTAAAAATTCATTCAAATTCCAGCAATAAGCAATATGACAGCAGAAATCGAACTACTATTTTTCTCAATTTTTTATCTTAATTTTGTTTCCAGCTGCAACAAAGTAACACTTTTCATTCCTTTTTTTCTTCTTCTTTTTTTACTTTTTTTTTGATAAATTAATCAATAAATTCTAGCCTACGCAGTTAATATGAACCACACTTTTGAGTTACTTTTCTTTTTAAAGCATATTGAAACTTCATCCAATAACGCTACTAAAAATAAAGCATGGTTCAATAAAGGAACAAGAGAAAGAAGAAAAGTATATCAAATAAATTGCTCGCTGTAAGACTGTTTTGAACAATAGATCGATCAAAATCATCGCGGTACTTTATCACTGAGAAAGAAAAAGTAGTCGCTTTTAAGTCTTCGAACAATAATTGGAAGGAATAATCTTTCCAATTCTATTTTTAGCTGAAACTTATAGTACTTCACGCGCAAGACTGAATGATGAATATAATCTTCTTTTCTAATAATGGATGAATGAAATAAAAATATATTCCGTGAAGTAAAATTTTTAATTAATGAGAGAAGTTTTCCGATAAACTCAGAAATGAAACACTTTGAAGTACTAATTTTATTGTGAAAAAAAAACTGCTACATTTCTATGGCTTACTAATTTTTAAACTCAAAGCTATTTCTATGGCTAAATCCGGCAGTAAATCCTCGTGTCTAGTACAAATTAGTTCGACGTCTTCTCTCTGGTGTAATTGTTGCATTCAAATAACATCATTATAACATTCGAATTACATTACAACATTAGAATAACAACGAATACATTTAGAATGTGTATAGGTTTAGTCTGTTTACCATGCACAGTGGTAAAAAATAACGGACCACCTTGAATAACTTTTGATATAATGATCGGATCTTCACGCTCTAAGACTCAATCTTAATGGTAATCTAATGGGAAGACCTTAAATAT